GACGAGCCTTTGGACCTTGACTGAGGTTCTTGGCGGGGACAAGGGCGCCGCAGGGCAGGTCCTCGCGGCCGAGGAAGTGTTTCCCGAGACCGGGTTCAATGGCACACCCGACAGCCTTTTATGACCCCCGTCAGATTCTGCCACTCTTGCTCCACACGGTGAGGGACTCCTCCAGTTAACTGGCCATTGTCGGACAGCGGCGATAAAGTAGGGCTGGTGCCTTCAGAAAGGCAGATGCCAATCAGGTCAGCAAAGAAAACAAAGGGAAAAAACAAACAAACGGGGAGGATGTTTGAGTTGTGTGCATTACCTGAAAAGGGAGATGCTCTCCGCCGAAGTGTGAGCTGATTTGACAGTTTTTTTTTTTTTGCTCTCTTTCTGATGTAATTCCTTTCCTTTCCTTTTCCTTCTCTCTTCTCCACCGCCTCGCAGCTTACTGACTCTAGTGTGACTCTACTGCGGCGGATGGCGACGATGCTGATGGTGTGGCGCAGTGCGGTGTGTGCCCTGGCGCTCCTCGCGCTGCTCTGCACCTCCGTGTGGGCGGATGCGACGAAGGAGGAGGTTGCGACGGCGGGGGATGTCAATGTGTCCGTGGAGGTGTCGTGTGCGAGGGATGAACAAAATGTAAGGTGGCGTTTTCCTGGCGAGAGTGAATGGACACCGTGTGCAACCGCCACGGAGGCTTCTGTGGAGAGGCTCTCGGAGGAGGGAATTCTCACTGAATCTCTTTGTCACTTGGCTCAAGAGAAGCTCTCGGGGACCGATTGTGTGGCTCGCTGCGCTCCATCCCCGTCAGGCGGCACCGCTGCCGTGTGCACGATGAACTATCCGTTGTATCCCCAGAGCCAACTTTATCAGCGGTGGGAAACTTCACAGGCAACGCTCGGCAGCGCCTCGTCTTCGCTTGAAGGCAGCCGTGCGGCAGACGGTGGGAAGGCGTCGGGTGAGTCTTCGGCAACGGCGGGAGGGCGAGCAGGTGGCAGTGCAGGTTCACCAGCAGGCGCAGCTTCAGCTCCTCAGGGCCCATCCAAAACGGCTGTTCCCACTTCCCCCGCCGGCGGCGATGATGGAACCACCACTACAACGACCACCCGCAGTCCCAGTGCTGGGAGCAACGCAAAAAGCAATGCGGACAGCGGTGACGCCATCGCCACGGCGTGGCTGTGTGCGCCTCTTCTGCTTCTGCTCACGGCTGCCCTTGCCTGCGCTGCCGGGTAAGTGGTGAGGGACAAAAGATACGCACCCACACCCTGGCTGGGACGACGCATACACTTTTCCTGTGTGCTCATTTTGCTTGTCCTTCCTGCGGCCCAACGTCTCTTTCCCCTGCGCCCTGAGGGATGTTCTCTTTTATTACCATTATTATTTTACTTTTCTCATCTTGCTCCGCCACCCCATGCACGCCTCCATGGGCGGCGCACTCTTCTCTCCCTCCTGTTTGCTACCACCTCCCACCCACCCACACACACGCGGTGCCGGCTACATTGCTGGGCGTCGCACGGACTGCCCAAATGAGGCCCGAGGCCGCGGCCACCGTGGGGTGTAAGTGTGGTGTGCGTGCGTGTGTGTATGGGCTTACGCGACAAGGCGATTTTTTTTTCTGCAGGCAGTGCATACGTTTATTGGGCTGGTGTATTCGCGGTCTGCTGAATTTTTTTGTTTTGCTTTTTGCCTATGTTTCGTGGCTTATAAACTGGGAATAGAATTTGGTTGCGGTGCGGGTGCTTTTGTTGTGCAGGGGTTCTGCGAGTTGGTGGGGACTCTGTTGGCAGATGTCTGCCGTGCGTTTGTATGCATGCGTGTTTGTTTGTATGCGCCTTAGGGAGGTTAGTTTTGTTCGTTTTCTTTTTTGTTTTCTGCTGAAGTTTGGCCGAGTGCCAGGGAGTAGCAAGAGGAAGCAAATAACAGACGTGCCGAACAGCAACGGGGAACAAGTAGCAAAGCAAGCCACCAGAGGAGGAAGAGCGTCGGGTTAACTGTGGGGAAAAGCAGTGGCAGTAAAAATGATGCGACGGATCCTTCCTGTCGTCGCTGCCACGCAGGGCCTCGGTGTGGCTCGCTGTGCCCCAGCGACGCCTGCGTTGCAGCAGCGGCGCAAACAGTCAGACGTCCCTGCACGACGGCAGTTGCACGAAAATGACAATTTTTTCAGCGGTGCATCGGCGATGTATCTGGAAACTTTATACCAGAGCTGGAAGGCGGACAGGAGCTCCGTGGATCCCTCATGGGACGCCGTTTTTGGCGCAAGGGAGATGCAGTCGTACGACACACCGATTCTGAGTTCGGCTATTCGTGTCCTGCCAACGACGTTGGAGGACCCTGTTGCTGTGCAGCAGTCGCTAAAGGACTGCGGACGGCTGACGTGGATGATTCAGGCCTTTGAGGATCGCGGCCACCTTCTAGCCTCCACCGATCCCTTGGACTACAACAACAAGGGACCGCTTGGCCGCGTCGCATCGTGTAATCGTAAGGATATGCTGCGCCTTGATCCTGCCTACTTTGGGTTCACACCAGATGACTATAACCGTGTGGTGCGGGTCGGTTTTCAGGAAGAGGTGAATGGTGTGCTAAGCACCAGCTCCCGTCCAATGACAGTCAGGGAACTATATGAATACCTCACCATGCGTTTCTGTGGCACCGTCGGTTTTGAGATGTCGCACATTGTGGACAGAGAGACAAGTCGTTTCCTGCGCGAAGTGGTGGAGTCGGATGGGGCTTACAATCCCTTGCACCGCGCTCTCACTAAGGAGGAACAGACGTGGGCCTGGGACCTTGTCGCCTCCTCCGTCTACTTTGAGGATTTTTTTAAGCGCAAGTACTCGACCCAAAAACGGTTCGGTTGCGATGGGGCGGAGTCCGTTGTTCTTGGCCTGCGCGCCCTCATGGAGGCTTCCTCCAGAAATGGCGTGGAGAGGGTGCACATGTGCATGGCACATCGAGGTCGCCTCAATGTCCTCTACCACGTCATTGGCAAGCCGTTCCCTGTGATTTTGAAGGAGTTTGTCGGAATCACAGGACCCGAGTTGGAGCCGTACAAGATGCAGTCGGACGTGAAGTACCACCTGGGTGCACGATCTACGATGAAGATGCGGGATGGAAAGACCATAATCACGGAGCTGCTACCCAATCCATCGCACCTTGAGGCGGTGAACCCGGTTCTACAGGGATATACAAAGGCCGTACAAACTTCAATGGGTGAGAAAGGAGCCTCCGCCGTGTTGCCGGTTGAGATTCATGGTGACGCTGCCTTCAGTGGTCAGGGTGTTGTCTTCGAAACGATGTGCGTAAGCGAGGTTGACGGCTTCTCTACAGGAGGCACTGTGCATGTGGTGGTGAATAATCAAATTGGTTTCACCACGGAGCCCATGTGCTCACGCAGCAGCGCCCACTGCACAGACTTGGGGCGTGTCTTTCAATGCCCCATTTTACACGTTAATGGGGACTCGCCTGAGGATGTCGTTCGGGTATTTGAGTTTGCTGCAGATTTTCGGGCCAAGTTCAAAAAGTCCATCGTCATTGATCTCGTTTGCTACCGTCGGTTTGGTCATAATGAGAATGACGATCCGACCATTACGCAACCTCTCCTGTATAACCGTATCAACGCCGTGGGGGACTTGTTCAGGAGGTACTCTGAAAAGTTGATTGAGGCGGGAGTCATCACGTCGAAGCAGCAGACAGCGAAGGCCATCGCAGAAAAGGAACGATATGGCAAATATCAGGCAGAGGCAGCTAAGGTGCATTACAGCAGTTTCCTCACGTCCTGCATCCCCGATAAGTGGAAGTGCCTGAAGCACTCCGATCAGTTGGGTGATGTCAAGCTGGAGCCAACAGCTGTTGCTGGCGAAGAATTTAAGCCTGTGATCGATGCACTTAAAGTGTTGCCAGACGGCTTCGTTGTGCATCCCAAGTTGAAATCCGTGCTGGATCGCCGTATTGAAACCTTGGAAAAGGGTGAGGGAATCGAATGGGGAGCGGCAGAGGCGTTGGCGTTCGGGTCTCTTGTGTTAGAAGGTACAAAAGTGCGTCTGATGGGGCAAGATGTGGAGCGGGGGACCTTTTCCCAACGTCATGCCGTCTTGCACGACCAGAATAAGATACGCACTTACACCCCTCTTGCGCACATAAGCAAAGATCAAGCCCCGTTTGTTGTCAACAATAGCCCTCTCAGTGAGTACGGCGTGCTTGGCTACGCGGCTGGTTACTCCCTCTTCGACCCTAACTCTCTCGTGGTGTGGGAGGCACAGTATGGCGATTTTGCAAACGGTGCCACCATTATCTTTGATCAGTTCATCTCTGCTGGGGAGTCCAAGTGGAACCAGCAGCAGGCTATCGTGGTGTCACTTCCGCATGGCTATGACGGGAGGGGCGCAGAACACAGTAGTGGGCGTATTGAACGCTTCCTGCAGGCCGTTTCGGAGGACGTCGCGACCCCGGCGTACTCCATTGAGGAACGTGCTCACCGTGTGAACATGGAGGTTGTGTATCCCAGCACCCCCGCACAGTACTTCCACCTTTTGCGGCGACACGTGCGACGGGACTTCCGTAAGCCGCTTATTCTCTTCTTCTCTAAGAAGTACCTTCGCTCCCCGAACGAGTCCACAATGGAGGAGTTCACATCTGGCAAGTTCCACCCCGTCATTGGGGACGCATCTGTGCCGCCAGAGAAGGCGCGTCGGCTCGTGATGTGCACTGGACAGCTGTACCACACTCTCAATGGCTACCGCAGGAAAAACGGGAACACAGATGTGGCGCTTGTTCGCATCGAGGAGCTCTCGCCATTCCCTGTGGCGGAGGTGCAGAAGCTGCTCCAGGACTACAGCAATGCCGAGCTGATGTGGGCACAGGAGGAGCCAAGGAACCAGGGTGCGTTCTACCACGTGGAGCCGCGCGTTGAGCTCTACACGGGCGGACAACGCGAGTTGAAGTACGCCGGTAGAGAGATCAGCGCGTCGCCGTCAACCGGGTACAAGAGTGTGCACGAAGCTGAGGAGCTCCACATTTGCGAGGTTGTCTTTGAGTAGTAGCGGGTGAAAGCAACTTCGCTCCCCGCACACTTGCGTAGGCGCGTGCCCTTGCGTGTACCAGACGGGCGGGGCACGCGCCTAAGGAGCTCCTTTGCCTGAGGAGGCGGAGAGAACGACACGCACACCGAGGGTCCACACGTTCTGTTTTTCTTTTTTTTGTGTGTGTGTACTTTGTTTTACTGATCCAAAATGAATTTACGTCTTTTTTTTCTCTCTCTCTTTCCTTCTGCAGATGCATCGATGTTTACCCATGCCTCTTTCAGTAGGACGCAGGCGGCGGTGATGGCGTTGCCGGCAATATTGACTCTCCCACAATGATAAAAGAAAAAAAAAAGAAGAAGGAGTAAAAATAAAACGTAATAACAAAAATCAACAAAAGAATCGGCAGTCATTAACTTTTTCCCATCCTCAAGAGGAATAAATGAAATGGAAACAGAGAAACCTCTTCAAGGAAGGAAAAAAGTACAAAAGACCAAAACGAAGCATGAAGGAAAAAAAAAGCTTTGACTGGACAAGGAGATTGATGCGAACTTATACAAACATATAAACGCCTGCCATTTTTCGTGCCCATGTGTGCAGAGGTGCTTCGTTATATGCAAATAACTTCTGTGTGGTGCCGATTGCTGTTGTGGGTTTTTTTCGTTTAGGAAGACGCTAGGGTTTTAATGGTGGTGGTCGTGATGGGTAGGCCCACGCTTTTTGTTTGTTTTACTTTTCCTTCTTTCTGTTTTTGTCGCTTCTCTTACTTGATGTCTGTGCGTGTGTGTGTGTGTGTGCCTATGTATGAGCACTGACGCGTTTGTGCTTCCTTTACGGCTTTTCAAACCCTCCTCCTCCTGCCCACCTCCGTCTCTTCCCTCTTTGCCTGCCCCGCTGTCGGGGGAGCGGAAGGGGAGGGGGGCGCCAATACGCGAGAGGAGGGGGGCGAGGGTTGTGTGTGTGTCGGCGCGCGCGTGCGCAGGGCGTGCGCATCAAAAAAACAAAAAAAACGATAAGTTTGCGGCGCAGAATTTGACGCGAATGTGCCCGTGAGAAACGTATAAAGCGTGAAGGGCTCCAAACAGCGAGGCAGCGATAGGGTGAGGGAGGGAAGGAGTTGCGAGGAACGGGGATGGGTGGAATGGGCACTGCCAAACACATTGCGCTCTTTGCACCGCGACGCTTCTCACCCGCTTGCTTTTTC